CAGGCAACCTCAGTTTGGAGTCACCCCAAATGTGTATTATATTGCAAAAATGGATGCTCGAAAATGTTGCAAAGTAGGCAATTTTTAGATATATTTTAAGCAAAAGATATTTCTACATATGAGAGCACTTTTTACCCAGAATACTCACTTAAATAAACCAGCTTGTTTCCTTATTCCAAATAGGTTAGACTTACCACCCTCTCCTCTTAAGGTTTTGGCACAAGGTAGGTTGTGCTCCACCTAAAACATCCAATTCGATATCCTTTTACAAGTCAGGCTTGTTATTACGGGGTAATAAGCTTTGTTTTAAGTAATTCTGCAAAGCTCTCTTATACTTCCTCATGCAAAGAAATTTCTAGGTGAACGACTTTGGTTTTGAGATGGTTAAATCACTCATCTAGTCATGGCTCTACTAGCTGACTGGGGGCCAGGAGGTTGGACCACAGCCTCCGGGCCCCCGTGTTTTACCCACCGGGTCCTGTAGTTTGTTGTCAGTTCGCCTTGGGTTGCCCCGTCGCCCAGCTAGCTCACTTGCCTGCTTTCAAAAACATTTTCCTGGCCCCTGCAACATCACCGGTTCTCTTTACGTGAAGTCATATTAGGGTGAGAACAAAATCCCTCAGCTTCCCTGCCAAACCCTCTGCCACACTCCTTACTGCTGCTTTCCCGTTCCGAGGCCTGACTGTACATAGGCGGCAAGTCAGTCACTGTGGCAACAGTCTTGAACGTGAAAATTTACTGAAAAGTTTCTTGTCACATTCATTTGATGGGCGATCAAAGAGATTCACCTTTGTATCCTTTTCCATAAGTCCAAAGTGCGATAAGAAAGCGTGAGTAGTACTTTGTCCCAAGTAAGTGACAGGTGCGTTTATTGTTGTTTCTAGTGAGTGAGACAACTTCTCTTGGGGAATCGCCTTGGAAGGGATGCTGGGATAATGACACCAGTTAAGACTCTCTACCGTCCTCCTTACTTTGATGTTCTTCACTGGGAGTCAGTTATGTGTGAAAGAGAATGTTTCTGTCAGTGGTCCTTTTAGTTCTGAGTTTTCCCCGGGTCTTTCATCTCCCCCCCTCGGTGTTTCAGGCCACTTACATTGCACCTGGCCTTTCGTGCCCCGTAGAGGCCCCCAGAGTCCTCTGCCTCTGGCTAGTCAGCTCTTCCCCGTCTGGTTGCCCGCCTCCTCCTGTAAACTGACTCCTCCCACCTCTCACCTGTGCCCCGCTTCACCCTCCCACCAGTCATCCTTTCCAAAGGTGCTTCCGTTTTAACACCATCCCAGAACAAACTTGACCCCTTGTTCCCCAAGTAAACTGCTTTTTTAGTAAGCCTCCTCTACCCCGCTAAACCAAGAGCATCCCATAACCCTCCTCATTCTAAAATATTGCTTTTCATAACCTCCAACAGTCTGCTCCCTTCCTCCTCCTAGAAGTAATCCGTCGTCAGAGCTCTGTTCCATTTGGGCGCGGAGCCGCCTCATTGAAACCATAAAACACCCCCCGCCCAACCGCCTCCCAAACAAAGAAAAATGGCCTAATACAGTCTTCCGCCTTCCCTTTCTCTCTCTGAGAAAGACATTCTCATGCGGTAGATAAGGACCCATTTGTGTCTCTTCGAGGAGTTTTCTTTCTCAATGAAATAAGCTAAGGAGAAATACAGGAAGGCATTCCAAGGCCAAACACATTCTACTGTTTATTACACATATTACATTCTTAAATAAAAATGCGTCACATAACATTTTTTGCATAGATATCTTACAATATACCAATTTAAAAAAGAATTATGAAACAGACCAGTAACAAAAATAAATTTTTTCTTCATTAATAATTTTGTAACATTAACATACCACCATCATATAATACAAATAATAGTTTTAAATCTTAAGACTTTTGTACAGCAAAAAAACTTGACAAAGTAATATATTTATATATATATATATAAAAAGCTTAAAAAAAATAAAATGTCAAAAAAAGGCATAACCGAGGGCTATAAGACTGGGTACTTCTGTGATATATTATAAATACCAGAGAAGGCCTGAGAGAATGTGACCGGGGAGGCAGGGGGCGGGAGGGGCTGGGAGTAGGTCTCTCCAAACACACTTGTTAGACACATCTGGCAAAAAGAAAATGTATAGTGCAAAAACAAATTTCTTCAAGCCTGTTAAGAAGGATAATAGAGACTGGAAAGCAAAACGGCGGAGGCCGGGAAGATGTGCGGCGGGAACAGGGAGGGATGACGAGAGGGGTTGGGGGAGGTTTACGGAAAGGAAGGGGAGGCTTCAAAACTATTAAACATTTATTTTTGCCTCTGTGTTAGCAAGGAGATCTTGGCCAAACAGGTGTACTTTTCCTCCCTGGAATGAAGCAAAAGTAAAAGATAAGGAAATTAAGTTTGAGTATAGGAAATGCATGCTGGGGAGAAAAGGAAAAGGTTGAGAACCAGCCAATGAGTCCAGAAGCCTCTGAGGACCTAGAGATGCAGAAATTATTCCGTCTCTGGTCCAAAGGCCCAGGATTAAAATGTCCCCTCTCCCCACCCTCAGCCCTTCCCCTTCATGTGGAACTCCCAGTGTGGTTTCAATATACTGGCAATTATAAGCATCCATCCCCCAAAAAAGATATTAGGCACTGGTGGCTACTCCTCTTAAACGTCAGTAGCCTGTTTTCCTTCTGCGAAGGTACAATAGGTACATGTGCACACACCTAGGTGTGTGCAGACATACCACCCTCATTATTCTGACGTGGGGTCCATTTTATGGCAGTAGACAGAAGCTGGAGTCAAAGTAATGTACGATTCCAAAGCTCACAGTTGAAAAAAATTGTATAAACAGTCCCCAACAAAGAACGGATCAACCTTCCCTTGTGGCCGCTTAGAGGGAGCCCTGTTTGAAAAGAGTATTTTGTTTGGGATATTTGTGAAGTGATGACCTAAGATTTCTCTCTCCATTTTTGATACCTGTTTTCCGAGGACTTACATTTAAATGCAAAACACCTGAAGAATACAGTACTAGATCGGAAGGGTGCACACAAGGAAAGTTAATTGCAGCTTAATCATCCCCTTTTCTGGGACCCACTAGAAACCAACAGAGGTTGGAGAGAGAGTGTTAAAAGCAAGAGAAAACCCTGAAGCCTCAGGCAGACGGTCATGGGATCTCACACTGAGAAGCCACTTTTGCTTCCTTGGACACATTTTGTCGTCGTTGTTCCAACGCAAGTATTCCCAATGGCCCTCACTGAGGAAGGGAGGCCATCAAAGAGGCACTGATGTATACTCGGGCCAGCCCCTTTCGTTTTCACACTGAGATATCACCATGTTTACCGAAATTTAATCCAGACCCAGAATGAAAATTCTCTTCTCCTGCCCCCACCCCCCACTTGGCAGGTGCCCACTTCCAGAAGAAGCCAGGGAAAGCTTCCGAAACCAGGTTCGACTTAATGAGTTTTCACTTTGGCAAAGATCTGGGTGCAAAACTGTGGCCAGCCATGCTGGCCCTCATGAGACTTTTAAAAAAGAAACAACGAACCTGATTTTTGTAGTTAAAAGAGTTGCCTCTCTCTGACTTTCCCTAGCTTCTTTCCTCTCTGAAAACCAAGTCATGCAAAAGAGAAGGTGAAAGCACTTTGCACTGTATTTTATATTTTATGAAGTGCCATTTTGAGCCAATAACACTAATCACTGGGTTTTGTTTATTTCTTTTTGGCTTTGCCACAGAATTCAGGAGTGGGGGCTACAGGCAAAATGCTCTGAGTATCCTGGATGAGCCGCCCTGAAAGTACCACTTATTTCCCCTCTGATGCAAACAGACATGGCTAATCTGGGTGTTTATCCCAAACTAAAATCCTTAAAAAATCTTCTCTGGCTTCTAGATTGAAAGAAGATTTTCCAAAAAATAGGAATCAGTTCTGCTAATTATGCGTGAGGTTGGCTGTCTTTTTACCCTGTTAGAATCAGGCAATCAAAGATGTAAAAAGGGCACAAGAGGTGCAGGAGGGGAGGAGACATGGGTATTGGGAGGGCTTTGCAAGGGAAAGCACGTAAAGAGGAGGAGAAGGAAATGGTCAGCGTGGAGTTCATTTGGGGGGTCTTCGATATTTTATAAAATGCAGCTTTGTCATGGAGTCCGATCATCTCTTTCTGGACATAATAGCCATTACCACCAGGCGTTAAGTTGGGCAGATGAACCGTCAGTGGGGCAGGAGGCCAGTAGCTAGGAGCAGCACGTCATTTCAGGTTTCCACGTCTCTGACTTACAGCCAGGTGGTAGGAGAAAGAAGCACAACTTGAAATAAATTGTCAAAACTGTCAATGGCTTAGAAACACTCTCGTTCTGTACATCAAACTCCGAACCCTGGATTAAGTGTGCTTGAGGGGGCGATCACAAGAAACACCATGCCAGGTTTTTCCTTTTAAATTTGGGATCCCCTGGAATGTTAGGAGGTAACAATTTAAATGAAAAAGCGGTTCGATGTGTTTCAAAGGTCCATTAAAGCACTGTTTAAAATAACCGGTCCTTTTGGGAGCAAAATATTTTCAAGTCATTTCTTGGAAAGCCTGTTCGCACCAGCAGGCTCTGCCCAAGCATCTCTGTCATTTCGGAGATGCTGGGCATTTGATCACAAATCTTTTTTCCATAATGATTGGGGCTGTACCCCGACTCCCAAGGGTAGGACTGGTTATCATTCACAGGTGTCAATCGGGTTAGAGAGGAACAGTTTCAAAGCCATACACTTAGCACCCACCAAATTCTCGGCCAATTCTCACAGTCAACAAATGACTCTGAAGCGAGCCAGCCCCACCAGTGCGGTTCGGTGCACCCTGCTCTGAGAAAGGTCGGGAGCAGATTACAAAGGACCTCACTGATACAAAAGAGAGAGGAACTACAGAACAGTTCAGACACTGATGAGGACCAACGGGCTTTTGTTCTGCCACATTCAAATGAGAGCTTTTCAAGACCACAGATGACAACAGGGAGCAAACAAGCAATGATTACTCTTTTGCATTCTGTTTTTAACTTTCTTTTTAATAGAGCCTTGCATTGGTCAGTTCAAAAATTAAATTAAGTATTATAAACCCTTAATAATAGCATTTCAAGAGGCAAGAGCAGCTCCAGCTGGGGAGAGAACATCTGTAAATCATGGTGGCCACGGCCAATGCCGTCTCTGGAGTGTGCGTGCATTCCTGCCGGAGGCTGCTGCAAGAAGGGAAACCAGCGAACCAAGAAAATCGGGGGTGTCTAACGTTTCATCTAGTGCACTGACTGGAGGCGCTACAGTTTAATACAGTTGAGGTTCAAGGTTCCTCACACATCCTTCATCCCGAAAGGATGCACCACACATTCAAATATAATCCCGTGGTACGCCCTGATGGACTGGCCACAAAATGCACTCAAATGCAGTCGAAAACTACGAGATTGTCAGCAAGCAGTGCTCCAGAAATTGTTTCTAAGTCATGTCTACTTTTAAATCTTTGGAATAAAACTGATTTTTTAAAATACCCTCCAACTAACATATACATAATTGCCTCTGGCAAATGGGCAGATTTTGTGTGTGCGTGTGTTTGTGTGTGTGTTTTAGGGTGGTTTTTTATTGTTGTTTTGTTGTGGGTCTTTTTTTGTAATTTTTTTTTGTTTTTGGTCTACATTGAAAAAAGGAAAAAGAGAAAGCAAAGTTTAAGGGCCAGACCTCAGAATGCCCCCAGGGTCCAATTGGCAGCTACGACATTTGTGACAAGGAAGTTCCTTTACCCTCAGAGGAGTAGTTTCAACGTTTCAGTGAAATCAAAGGTTGCAGAAAGCTGAGGAACCAAATGCCAAGGATCTTGAAGGTTGCTGTCATAAATGTATTTGTGTTTCTTACATTATCACTTCCTTCTAAAGACTTCAGTTTTGCATCCCAGATTGGTATGGGGTAGCGTTTTAACAGTCAATGAGTCAAACAGTCAAAGGAGGGTAGGAGGGGAGCCAGCTGGTATGAAGGAGCAGCAACCGTGTGCGGACCAAATGCCATTTTTGTTTTTGAGACGTGTCTTGAAGGGATGGTCCCAGAATATACAAAATATACAATCTGTCCTAATAACCACCCCGCTTGCTTGCATAGGCCATTTAATGGTCCTAAAGGCAGTCTTTGGAGTTGAGGCCAATGCCAGCTAGCTAAGAATGCGAGTAGATAGAGACCGACATCGGGTGTGTGTGTGGGATGAAAAGCAAGGAATGTAACCCCCTTGGAGACAGTTTGCAGAGTAAACGTGAGGCCTCTGTTGATCCTGGGTGCTCTAAGTCACAAGTCATGAGGGCCTAGCCAGAAAAAAATTAGAAATATGCCTCTCCTTTTAGCCAGACCGTGAGAGAAACATCTCAACCCTTTCCTGAAACGTCCACCCTTCATTCCCGCAATGGCATCGTTGCATCGTGTGTTTTAGCGAGTGGAGGAACATGAGCTCAGTGGGGATGAGAGGAAGATAGGGTGATGTTTTTTTGAAGCCACTAGACTTGGGAGGCATCTTCCATTTTCCCAACTCCTGGAAAGAGTGATATTTTTGGCTTTTTGTCAGGTCATAACCCAGAGTTAGGTTCAATATGCAGCTGCCCTTTGAGACTAGCGACATGTAGGCTGGAACTGGGTACAGGGCGGCCATGACACACAGCACAGGGTTGATCGCTAGGAGCTGAGGTCATGATGCCTCCAGGGGATGACAGAACTGTGATGTCCCATCTGATTGGCTGCTTTGAGAGCTGGACATCCACGTGCTGAGGGAGTCCTGGAGAGGTTTAGTCCATGGAGAAAAGATAAAACGTTTAAGCTTCCAAATAAGCTTTTCAAGTTTTCATTAGCAAAAACAGAGAGATTAAAAAGAAAAAATCTAGCACTGGCAATAAGGTGAGGCTCAAGGGAGAGACTGTGATTTATCATCAAGGACTTTATTCTCTTGGCCACTTTGCAGTCATGCTAGAAGTTTCCAGAATCCCTAGTGCATATGGTGTGCAAGAGTCAAAAAGTAAAAAAAAAAGAAAATTCCTCCCTTAAGAGTGAAGTCTAGAGAAATGCAGGCCAGAAAGGTGTAAGGTGTTATTCCAGAGTCTGTCGCCGCTAAGGCCGTTGGTATTGACTCGAAAGATCTCAATGGTACTAAGAAGAACCAAAACCAATCAACAGTTCTTTGAGGAAGTTGGACGCACGGAATAGTAGGATTTTTCACACACAAAGGACAAATAAACCAAGAGTTAATTTTGGCTACCAAACTGCAATTTGGTTTTCTAGGTCATTTTCCCCCAACTATTTAAAAAGGAACATTAGTGCTACACATATGCAACTTTAAGACGCTGTGTTCTCCTATCAAGTTGCACTGAGAAGCGAGTTAAATAAGCCCCTCTTACGGCTGTCCGCCTGCAGAAACGTCACATCCGTTTTCTTTGATTTCCATTGGCAATGGCGGGAAATAATTCCAATAGTGCTGAAGTGAGCAGCCAGTCTGCCTTGCTGAGTTCACCGGGCTTCCTTCTTCTTCGTCTTCTACCATCTGGCTAGGGCAAGGCATAAAGAACAGACGTATATATTTTAAATACAGCGGAGTGCACGACAGTGTGTGTGGTGGGGGGTCTGTGCGTGAGAGCGCATGTGGGTGTGTGTGTCTGTGTGTGTGTACACAGAGGTTTGGAAGGGAGAACTTTCTTCTGCGAGGCAATGGGTCCCCGCCTGAAGTCCAGCCCTCTGCCTCATGGGGTTTCCTTCAGACAACGGCCGGCGTCATGGCCACTATGGCCTTTAGGGTTTTTTAGATATGTCTCTTCATATGGAGGGCAAGATGGTCAGACCTGGAAAAACACCTAGGAAATATAAACAACAATGAGAATATTAGAGAGGTCCAGGTAGAAAACTCAACTTCCATCACCCCTAAGAAAATTATTAACCCTACCTGAAAGAGAGGCAGTACAGGTGTGTTGAGAAATAAGGTAGTGTGTTAGGAAGGTGGGCTCAGGCGTCAGATTGCCTGGGTTCCAACGCCAGCTCTCCCAATAACTGTGTAACTCTGAGCATGCTTATGTCTCTGTGCCTTAATTACTCCTCTGTAAAACAGCACTTACCTCCTAGCTGGGTTGTGAGGATTCAATGAAACTATCTATGTGAAGTGCTTCAACTATTGCCTGGCATACAGGAAGGTCTCGATGGGTGTTAGCTATTATCATCATAGTTGTCATCATTGAAGAAGAAATGAATGTGCAAATGCTTTGGAAACGTGTGTCATACCCATATACTATAGAAACACTACAAATGAGTAGCTTGTATTGTCAAATGGTGGAACTTGAACATTTCAACACCCAAAGTTTGGTCTTAGGCTTTACAGTGAAAGCCCAGAACTGCTGCCTATGCTATGTACAGGTCTACACAGACACTCTCTGTTCATCTCAGGAACAAGCGTGGAGAAGGGAGCTCACATTTACTGAGTACCATATAATAGGCAGGCATGTGCTACGTGTTGCCCCAATGTTATCACCCTGGTAACCTCCTCGGCAACCTTCCACGGTAAGTATCACACCCTTTGGGGTATGTGTGGTGAGCGGAGGCTAGGGTCACATGGCTAGTGAGTGACAGACTTCAGACTTGAGATTAGATCACAGGTGGACCTGTACGCCCACTTTTTTGAACTGCTTCTGGGTACCTAAGGTCCATCACTGGGTGTCTTCCTCAACCTTCTGAGAAGGTACAGTGGTTGTCTTCACCCTTTCTCGTTTCTTCTAACATCACCAACTTGAGTTTCCCTTGGAGAGCAACTAACTCTTCTGCATTCTCAGTCATCCCGGGCTGACCCTCCTCCTAAGTGATCTGCTAAGCAACAGTCACATGACCCATATAGCTCAGTAAGAGCCAGCCCTGGGATAGTTACTGAAACTACAGGAAGAAAGAAGCTCTCTTTCCACTGGGGCTGCTAAGCTGCTAAGATTGAAAGCCCAGGGCTGCCAGGTGGCAGAGAGCCTGTTTGAGAATCAAGTCAAGAGAGACAAATTGGGCCAGTGGATAGAGAAAGTCCTGATGACAATATCGGAGAACTGGATCCAGCCAAGCCTGAAGACAAATCTAATTCTGTTCTCAGTCACCTGAGCTAAGAATACCCTTTCAAGCTAATACAAGTCTGAGTCAGGTGTCTGTATTTAATAACTAACAGAGTGGGCATTTCCATATCTCCACAACCTACAAACTAAGGTTCTAGCGAGAATCCCAGTGAGGTTGGCACATAAGACAGCAGCCGTTCTTAGCTGTGGATTCTTCTCTCAAAACTGGCCACTTAATGTTCACCTGTGAGAATATTTCCCAGCTACCCTGAGGCCCAAGAAAACGGCACAGTCCAAAACTCTTGTTAGGATGTTAGCATGTTGTCCTGTTCAGGCTAGCAATTTTTCCTGTTCAGTACAGGATTTCCCTGTGCTCGTTTATTCTTAAAACAAACAAACAAACAAACAAACCTCACTCTATCCTCTGCCCCAACATTCTCTAGACACCGTGTGTTTATTTCTGAAACAGATACATGTGCAGGATGAACCCCAAGGAAATGAAGTAAAACAGAACAAAGGTAAAATAAAAAACACATAAGAATGGGAAAAGTATAGTAGAAAACACTCTAATCCAGTAACATGTTGAATAATAACAATTCTATTCATGCCAACTTACTTCAGACTCTGATTTAGAATGAGCAAGTTATTCGGAAAATCCCTGAGAGCACCATCAGGGTACCCTCTAAAGGGGATCTGATTTACTGTAAAACACCGATAACATTTTCTTTAAAAACAAGAACTTGGTGCCATTGGCACACAGAAAAGCAACCCAGCCAGCAGGGAATTTAGCATTTCACGTGCACAACCCTGTTCCGCCCTGCAGGTGCACACACGGCAGTGCCCGCTGTTCTCTTTCCTTCCCTCCCTCCCTCCCCGCCTGTTCCCTTTCCTCTCCTTTTCCTGTGTCCCAACAGCCTAGAGAAAGAAGATCTATGTTGAAAAGTTCTCACTGCAGGCATTTCCCTTTTAAAGTTAGCATCCTTACAAGAACCCTCGGAACAGGTACCATTCTTACCCCCACCACCAGATGAGATATTCATCACTAAGATTTGAACGCAAGCAGTCTGACTCCAGAGCCCAGGCGCTGAGCCACACCTGCTTTTCAGACTGAGAAGAAGGGGGCTGAGATGTCCAGTTCAGGGAGTTGTAGCAGGCAAAATAAAGGGTGGTCCCCCCATAATGTCTACACCTAATTCCCAGGACCTGTAAATGTGTTAGGTTACAAGGCAAAGGGGAATTAAGGTTGTGAATGGAATCAATTTGCTAATCAGCTGGCCGCAAAATAGGGAGATTATTCTGCACTATCTGGGTAGAGCCAGTGTCATCACAAGGGTCCTCCCAAATGAGAGAGGAAAGTGTTAAGAGAAGACCAGAGAGACTGGCAGCATGAGAAGGCCTCAACTGCTTGGATGATGGGGGACTGCGGTCAGGAGGCGAGAAATGTGGTCAACCCTTAGATGCCAGAGAAGACACGGGAACGAATTCTCCCTTAGAGCTTCTAGAAAAAAATGCAGCCCTGCTGGTACCTTGATTTTAACCCAGTGAGACCTGTGTTAGACTTGTGACCTACAGAACTACTAGATGATAAATTTGTAAAGATATATAAAAAGGAGGTTAAATCTGTGGCAACTGGTAACGGTGGCAACTAGAAAACTAGCCCATAAGTTCCTCTGGGCAGGCCTGATCAGCAAAGGCCTGGGAGACCGCGACGAAGCAGAGACAGAACATTCTGCCTGTCCTAAAGGGGACACGGGGCCCTGAGGTGGTAAGAAGTGAAGTGAAGGAGAGGTCTTGGCAGTGGACAAAACCTCTTTCCTTCCCTCTCTATGTCCTGGAAACCTAGAGGAAAACAGTATTCTTGACACACAACTTCATTTGAAATGACCATTCAGTAATGTGTGCGCTCTAGGCTTTTACTCTGCCTTTAACCAACTGCCTACTCTGTGCGGGGTGCATAGCAGTATACACACAGGTGTTCAACTTCTTCAGGAAAAAACAAGTGGGGTGGGGGAACCAGATCCTTAACATGATATCAAACATAATACATCCCTCCAGAATCAAGCTAGCATCATTATTTGTTCAAATTCTAAGAAGTATAAGATACTGAACATTAGACTAGGTCTCTCACCATTGAGGTTTTTATTTAAATTCAATATACCAGCAAGACACTTATTCATGATTAATTTATATTTATTAATTTATACTTACTGAGCTCCACATAGGAGCAGTAAAAGGTAAAAGATAAACTCAGCATCCAGAAATGCAGAATCAAATAATTCTAAGGGTAATACACCCCCAGAGGGTATTTATGACTATACCGCAGGCAGATGACCTTAAATAAGAAAGTCCTTAATGATTGAAATTTGTTCATTACAGAGAACCAGTCAAACCCCAATGGTCGTTTCTCTTGCTTATGAAAAAGGCACACTAAAGTCATGTGGGCATTAAGCCAACGGCAACCCTCTAGGGCACCAAAGGGCTAGATACTGGCTGGTATTTCTTACCACCCAGAAGTGGGCTGGCTCAAAGATCAAAATTCTCCTCTCAGCTGCCCAAGATCTTTGAGGGACTACGTTGGCAGCCGCCTCCCTGGATCACAACCATGCTGAGTCGGTAGAACAATGGCCTGTCTACTGTCACCAGTGGAAGCAGCCTCATGCTCTGTGGGCCGAGAAACAATGTGGGTCATTCTCTAGCAGCTGGTCACTCAGTGGGCTGCACGGTTCAGGCCGACTGCCAGGAAATGGCAGAGCTGCCTCAATGTGTACCCCGTCCCCAACCCCAGGCCTGCAGCCAAGGGTCACAAAACCCAGTGTCTTCAGGGGTCAGGCAGGTGAAGTCAATGAGGGCAGTGGGTCAAGTGTAAGAAACACAGCACTCTCTGATTCCACTTTTGAGAAAGCATGGATCCAAATATTGCTCTCCTAGGAGTAGACAAAGGAGCAAGTGTGATAATCCACATCGCCTGACGGTCTGCCTTCACGTCGGGAGACCACAGGGAGTGGTGGGAACAGTGAGAAACTGGTGATCACGTGGCCATCTCCAATGGGTAGTGAGTAATATTCGGCTCCAGGACATTACGGCTACGTGGTAACACAAGCCCACTGTTACAGGGTTGTCTGATTTTTCCAGACAAAGCCAGAAATACAGGCATTTTTTTAGGGCATCTAGCAACTTTAAGTGTTAGCAAAACAAACACTTATGCATTTTTTTCTAGCCTATACACAAAATAAAAATATGCATGGTACATGCTTTAAGGAAAGGGAACCCCCATCCTTGCTTGGCCCCAAAATAGGGTACTTTGCTCAAATGAAAGAGGCCAAAGGTGGGTTTCTCATGCTCACACACATTATGGTACCACAGGATCCAGTGTCTTGTTAAGGGCCACAGATGCCATCTGTTTCTGAAGGAAAATGTCTTCTAAGCAATGCCAAGTCCTCAGTCACTCGATGCTTCCCTCTCATCTGCTCTGGACCACTCCAATTCCCGACGCCACCTCCCAGTCCTGCATTATTCTTAGCGCAATCTTTGCGACTGAAAGGCAGGGTGCTCCCTGTCTTGAGACACTAATGAGTCCAGCTTCTCGTGTCTGACACTGTTGAAAATGCACTGACAATTGGCCAATGCCACAAACCTTGAGCGACTCACAATCTCTCCCAGTTACCACACATGTCGCAGAATTTGTACCATCTGCTTAGAAAATTTCTAGCTCCAGAAACCATAGTATATTTTGATAAAGCAAAAAGACTAACCAAATTGCCCATCTCTGACAAATCCTTCACTGAAATATCTACTTGGTTTGAAATATTTCCCACACAAATTGTACAGTCAGATTCAATCCTAATACATCAATGGCTACACAATTGTACATTTCACGGTAAGTCGGTTGATTTGAAGAAAGAAATACTGACTTTGGCCATTTCCCCTGAAGAACTCTCTGTCCATTTCTAAGGATGAAAGCATCCACAAGATGCAACCTGCAAGGAACGGCCTCACCACCCGCCAGGGGCGGGGGACCTGCGTGTGCCTCCTATTCCACACTCTAACAGCTCACAAGGTGGATATGCTGCTCTCCCCCAGAGGACTGCAGACAAGGCATCCCCATATGTAGCTTCTTTATTAGTTGCCAGGGCTAGAGAGGGATCAACGTGAGGTGGGAGTTGGGGGAAAGCTGCCCAATAAGGAGAAACTTGACTGAAATATAATCTGCAGAGGAGCTGCTGGGACTTCCAGGTAACGGGACAGAAACGAGAAAACAGGTTGCATTCTTGGGGAGCAGAAGAAAGCTCCAAAGGAACGAATGACAATAGCTTCGACAAGTGGACTTCCTCAGCCCTGGGGTGGGAGGTTATCTCTGGGCTGCAGAAGGCGTGGGGGCTTTATTTAGTTCTTCGAGAATGAAGATAAGAGGAAAATAGCCTCTTCAGGAAGAAGAAAAAAAAAAGGAGGAAAAACATGAATGTTCCTTTATAAGCAGCTTAAAGGCGCACCAAGCCAACGGGCCACCAGGAGACTTGGCCACCCCTGACCTGCTCTGCAAACAAACACTGGAGACTCCAACTCCGGGGGAAGGCCTGCTGAGGGGAGGTGCCTGGTGCCTGCCCAGGGACCGGGGAGGCAGGATGCGGAAGAGATCGAATTTCCTTCCAAGGGGAGCCAGGCCTCTATGGGCATCCTGCAGCCCCTCCTGCCATCCCTCGAGCTGCTGGCCAGGCCGGGGAACCCTGAGGCTTTCAGGGCTTTTATCGTATTAGAAGCATTTTTCTCATCATAACTGAGACCTTTAGTATTGCATTAAAAAGATGGTTAATTTTCTTAAGCTTCCTTTTAAACACAGAAATAGGATTAGAAGGATAACACGCTCAGATGCAAGCCCATTATTTGATTATGTCTAAACCTAATCCTGCCTTCACCTTGGCCTGCAGAGTCTCCATTTTGGGGTTTATTGGTTGATAATGCCAAGGCTGTCAGATACTATTACTTGTGTAGTATCTGCTGCTACGTGCTCTTTCTTCCACGATCAAATGCTGAAGGTTTGAAATGGAATTACAGGATAAGTTCTCAAAGCCTTGCCATCTTTGAGACCTTTGTGCCTCTTTTCAAAGGAGAAAGACTGGGGCAGGCCCCCGAAGAATGGGAACTGTCTTCAGCAAATTCATGTCTCATAATCCTTCAGAGGAAAGCCTTATAACTCGCATCCTTCCGTTAAGCAGGCTTTCTACTCTCTCACATGACTGAGGGCGAGGGAAAATGGTGTTGATGTTAATAAAAAGATCAGGAGAAGCAGCTACAGGTAACCACTCTCCGTCCCATTCCTTTTTATCTTATACTAAAGTGATCTGTTTCACCATTTCCTTGAGGGCAGGAATTGTGTCTTACTGACATCCAGTGACTAACACGGTCCCCGGCCCACAGCTGGTGTTCAGCAAATACCTGTGTACCTGAGCCAAGAATTCATACAATCTCTCAGTTACACACATGGAGGCACCCTTATGTCACTGGTTTCTTCGGCGGAGAAGTAAAAGGTGTTCCCAGATCCGGGACTCTGGGAGAGGGGCTTTCGATGAAACCCAGAGCACATGGGCAGCCCATCCGCCGACCCCCACCAACCCCCACCGTCCTCCCTCCCCGTCCCGAAGCTTCTGAGTTTCTTTACCTGTCGCAGTGGTTGCATTTAAAGGGCTTTGCACCTGTGTGTTTCCTGTAGTGCCTCGTGAGCTCATCGCTTCGTGCAAAACGCCACTCACACCCTTCCCACGAGCACTTATAAGGCTTCTCACCTGCGAAGAGATGGAATGACCATGGTCAGTGACAGGGACAAATGGCCACACACCGATCGGAGTCTGCTACCTGCCTGTCAGTCTTGGAAAAGGGACGTATACATCCATCTTGAAAGACTCCATTGCCTAAACTCAGAATGTCAGTTGTTGTTACTGTTACTATTATTACTCTTTTAACCTTCAAAAAGTGGTATCAAAAGATCCTCCAATCTGCAGCTGTCACATCAGTTCCCAAAGTCAGAGCATGTCCTTTGACTGTGGAGGGATCAATTTTTATTTCTTTGCTACTCCCTGGAGCACTTTGACCCCCAAAGTCCAGGCAGAAAGGAAATGTGCTATTTTCATCAGAACCACAAACGCTTCTAGTCTATTTTTCTCCAGAACATACAGTAATTTACCGTCTTAGCCTTTTCAGTCTCCTCCCTCCTCTCCCCGCCTCCCACAACTGTAGCCAGGTAGCTGCCTGGCCAGGCAGACAGCTCAGGTCTCCCAGAACACGGCTCGTTCCAGTAAATGTGTGAGTGGAAGGACAGTCACCAAAAGGGCTACAGCTTGAGAGGAAAGGAAACATCACTTGACGATTCCCGGCATTTCTGTGAAATACAGTCACAAAGTCCTATTTAAGAAGCCCATAACTTAAATGACTCCAAGAGCATCATATTAGAGAGAGATACATATTTATTACACAATATTTTTAAAGTCAATTTGTAGAGCGGGGGTTTCAGCCACAGTGCAGCTGCTTAAAAGCACGAAATTCGAGCTCTTGGACTCAAGTGACCTTTCCGCACAGTACGAACAGATGGAGGGAATTGGAAGAGAAAGTACAAGACTTTTCCTGGGACCATTTTTTTTTAGCCCATCAATGTCGGTCACCAAACATGACACAGATTTACCCTGCCAGCTGTATGGTTCGTCGGTTCTCATCAGGAACCAAGCCCTGGACCTGAGAGGCAGGTTAGTGCAGTGGTCATGAGCCCTGAGGCCAACCTTCCTGAGTTCTGCCCCCAGTTGCCCGAGTTAACGCACCTCTCTTTGCCTCTGTTTTCTGCGATATAATAGTACGTACCTCCCAGGGTCTGGAGAGGATAAACTAATACTATGTGAATCTATATCTATTATCTATTAATTAGAACTGCGCCCGGCACCTGGAAGATTCCCATAACTTGTAATTATTATAAACTGCCAACCCCCAAACTTCAGGATACGCAGGCGCCAGAGGACTGTCTGTGGCTGCCCCATTATTTCTCCACTGTTCACAGGCAGACCTTCGCGAGGCAGCACGTAAGGAGACATTGCCCGAGACTATACTTGACTCACTTTCTTCTTTCCACCTTTTTTCTTCCCTTTAAGCCTGACTACAAAGTGATCACAATGCTTTATTTGTATCACCAAGAATCAAACCAAACATGATTGAAATTTCTATTTCATTAAACCGGTGCCCTAGTGAGCCAGTGCTCGGCAAGACCCGTAGAGAAGAGGAGCGAGAAGCGCGGGCATGTCTTTGAAAGGGAACCAAGAAGACATGAAGGAGAGCTGGGAGCACAGGAGGAAACCCATTCAGCTTTGGGAACCAGTAAAAAATGAATCACGGAGAAGGGTTAAAAGTTCACCTTCTGGATCCTTAAAGCCCAAATTTTAGAAAAGTGCACCTGCTGAACAGCAGGTGAAGAGGGGAGATGTCGAGTCCACTTTGGAGTGAGCACACCTGGGATATTTCTGAGTTCGTTACACACACTGGGCCTCAGTGTCCTGACCTGTCAGATGGGGGCGGGGGGAGCGGGCAGGGTGAGTGTCCCACATTTACTGCGAGGGTTAAGTAGGTAGCCATGCATAAGACGTGTACAGAAGACACGTTTCTTGAGCCCGGCACAGGGAAATGGTCAACTGATTTGAACTCCTTGTCCTCGGCTCACCAGCGTGCCCAGGGGCTACTGAGGAGGCAGGCCTAGCCGGGTGTCAACAACTTCCAAAGCTTAGGCTCCAGACCTGGGTCCGGAGTCCCTCCAGGCAACCTCAATATCAGAAACCAGAGATGTGTTCTTGGTTACAGATGGAGAACGGGTCAGAAAAACTGGGCATGCTTTAGATCTGCTCTGAATGGGCAGGGTGCTCGAGGGGGGAAAAAGCGACCCCAGTGGGAGAGAGAAGTGCCCCTCTCACAGTGGCCTGTCGGCTTCCTTCTTAATGCTATTGATTACTCACAAGGCTTTGTTACTTCAAGGGAATCTAGCATGAACAACAACAAGGAAAAGGGGAAATGAGGCACCAAAGACCTCAGAAGTTCAACATGCCCTCCACCCCCAAAGGCCTTCCAGTACAAATCAAATGGGAGGTTCCTGGAGCCACGAGGACCACACACAGCCCAAATGCAGCAGAGTATCTGGAAATCCTATGATATTCTGCAGCAACGAGCAGAGACATCCAGTCCCCAGAATCAATGCCACAATCGAACTGACCCGTCCATCATAGGCAACCACATTCTAAAGGACACAGGAAGGACAGGGAGAACACGAAAGAGATTAAAGTGGATGTCCTTACTGGGTTTGTTTGTTTGTTTGTTTGTTTAATTTCAAACTGCTTGCTTTTTCCATGGCAGAATTTTAAAAATCGGTTCTGTTTTGTTTTATTTTGACAAACAATATCAAGGATTTGGTTACTTCCCAGGAAATAACGTAGGCTCTTAGTAATTAATTCTGGCACAAACTCACAGTCCCATCCAGTAGCTATTCCAGCATCCCTTTGGCAACTGTGTAGACAGCAACTACAGAGTGCTTGAACCTGACTCTGAATCATATCACTAACACTGCTTCCTGCTTATGGCGAGGAGCTACACAGAACATACTGAGGACACGCCCCTTTGTACCCTGATAGTTTAGCCAAGTCATATTATAGTGATTCATCAAGCTGTTTTCCCAGTGTCTGATTAATTTACCTATAAGTAGCCATTTCTCCAAATACTAACAAGAAATTTAAAATAGCCAAGAAAGAACTCAGGCAAATGAAGGGGCATTGCTTGAAACAAGCAGCGTTAAGAAGTCAGAGAAGCAGAAATAAAACCATAAAGAATTGAAAATACGATGTCATATTTAGGGCTCCGAAATAGTGGGATTAGGCTGACCTCATTCCGGGGTTCTATACCCACTTCCATAAACCAATTTCTATTAGCAAGCAGGTCAGTGACGTTGTGGGAATTTTACAAGGCCAAGACAACCAGCACCCACTGTTTGCTCCTGGTGGTGAAGCCACCTGTATTCACAATGCATTGGTTTTCATCCTGATGGTCCACCTGAACATTTCTGCTCATTTTCTAAAAAGCTTGGGTTTCTTTCTTTGTAAAAGAAGTCTTTTTTTTTTTTCTTTTTCAGAAACAAGGGAAAAAAGGAAGGGAGAGAGGGAAGGTGGGAGGGAGGGAAGGAGGAATGGGGGAAAGAGGGAGGGAGAGAGGGAGGAAGGGAGGAAGGAAGGAAGGAAGGAAGGAAGGAAGGAAGGAAGGAAGGAAGGAAGGAAGGAAGGAAGGAAGGAAGGAAGGAAGGAAGGAAGGAAGGAAGGGAGGGGAAGAAAGAAAAAAAGAAACAAGCAGCTCAGTCATAATTGGAGCAGATTTCATGCCAAATCTGCTCATCTGCCTCACCCTCCCTTCTCTCCGTGCTCCACTCCAGACCCTGCTCCCCGGTATAGGGCAGAAAACGGCACACCCTTGCCCGACACAGCTGCACGGCGCCCGAAGTGATGCCTGCCATTCACCCCACGGCACCTCCACAGTGAGTGAAAATGTGCAAGAACGCTCTGCATGAGACAGGCAGACCGGGGAGAGACGTGAAACGTTAGGACTCCCGTCCCGAAGGCGGGCGCGAACGAAGGCGGGCACGTCGCGGGAGCCTGAAGGGCCCGCGCAGCTCACGGTGCTCGGATGGGAGCACGCTCTTCAGAGCCCCCTGCATTTCCGGAGCAATGTCAATACCTACGTTTCCTATCTGCAGATAAAGCCTAGGCCATTGTTTCCCTGGGGGAGCACAGGTTACCTCCGAGGTGACAGCAAGTCTCATCAGATATAAATAGATTTATAGCCAAATGAGGGCTCTCGAAGAGAATGGAGGGTGCTTGAGAAATGGGGATGACATTCGGCAAGGTTGAATCGTGGCAAGAATTCCTGCTCTTCCACAAAATGGCCTCTGAAATGCAGCGTGGTCTGCACCAGGGCGGCCTCTGTTACCTGTCCTACACCACGGTCATCAAATCTGACGGATCGAAAACACATACTGAATAACTACTTTTTGAACATGTTCCTTCGGCATATGTAGATTTATCATGAATTATATAAATGCACTGAAGTCTTAAGATATTAGGATATTATGAAACATACACTCAATATAGAAATTTAAGAGAAGTGTAGTATTGGGAATACAGTCAATAATACTGAGATAAATACGTGTGGTGCCCGGTGAGTGCTGCAAATATCCAGGGGAACATTTTGTAGAGTGTATGACTGTCTAACCACGACACAGTACACCCGAAACCAATATAAACTAATGCTGAAAGTAATCTGTAGTTCAAAAAGAAAAAAATACACTTTACACTGGAATTTGCCACACACAAGGGAACACATATGTGCATGTATGTGATATACAAATGACACAAAGGTCACACGCAACAAAACCTGCTGCCGTCTTACGGGTTAGTGAGCGCGCTCTGATATTTTCTCTTTGATTCCAGTTCATTTACAAAAAGAGAAAGTGGAGTGATGCACTAGGCTGACTTTTTTTAAAAATTAGGGTGAATTAAATATAAATAGAAGTTACACATTCTTCTTCCTGCACTCAAGAGGCCATGCGGCCAGCGCTGCGCTGGAGATGGCTGCCCTGTGGTGCGAGTGAAAAGCACCCGGCTGCAAGGGCTCCGGTCTCGCTGCGTCCATCCTCGGCCCCGCCAGCCTGCTCCACCTCCGTGCGTCAGAGAAATCCTCTGAAAATGTAAATCAGAGCATGTGTGTCCTTTACAGG